AGAAGACCAGCAATGTAGGAGACAAAATCTATTATAGGGAGACCAAAAGAAAAAGGGAAAAAACTATTACTCGCTACAGTGAAATGTGATGTACAAAAGGGGATCTTGACTTCAAGCAAAAAGAGGGACACATGTCTATGTGAGTTTGTAATCATGGTAAATGGTCTTAGAAATTACTTTTATCATCCTGATATATCATGACACTATTTCTCCATATAGAAATCATCATTGCTTAAAGTGTCCTAAGTGATGATCAGTTATGTTAAAGAAAACCATTGCATACAGAAGTAGAATGGGTTCAAAGTCTCTGTCATAACATTGAACAATAACTAAAGTGTTCTGTTGACATAAAAGCAAAAAATAGTCCTAATACGATATGTACCAATAGACATGGTTTAGGTGGACAAAAGAATCTAGCCAAATGCATTTGTTTCCGAAAAGCATGAATTAGATACTGCCATTTGGTACCAATAGATAGTTTAGATAGACTATAAGAATTCACTGGTGTCACTTGACTCCTCAACTAATCAGGCAAGCCAGAGTGTAGAAAATAAGCACTAAAGGAAAATATACAGATTCCTAAATGAAACCACACAAAGTCATCTAATAACATGAAGGTGAAAGAGAAATTGTGCATATAGTAATCATCTAACTGCATAAAGAAAGCCCGCCATTGACCCAATTTCATCCACTATGAGTAACCAATTCATGATAATACATCACATTGGCAAATTGATCAGTAGCCGAGTAATCGATAGAAAACTGAGTGTAAAATCAGTTCATCTTAAAGGTATATCTAAGAATAACGAACATCACTCCTAATTATTCAGTTTTTAAAGCTAGTAATACAACCAAAATGCTAGCGGCAGAATACACAATCTGGGTGGGAACTATGATTATAATTAGCATTACTCGTTTAAGATCATAAAACAAAATAAAACAAACCCTCAATAACTATGGCATATTGACAAGAAATTATTGAAAAAATACAACTTGGGTAAAGAGCATTAAACCCTAACGTAGGAAAAAAAAAAGGGACGAGCGAAAATAGAGGAACCTGTGATGGTGCCGTGAACGACGGTGCCGTCTTGAGCTCAATCGACACCGTTCATTGTTCAACTTCATCAAAACTGCACATTGTTTTTCAAACCGAAAACCAATAAAGAGATCTAAGAAGTTGTTTTATTTTTCACATAACTGTTAAACACACAGAGAGAAGACAAAATCTAATCAAGAGTTGAGATAAAAGAGGGAAAGGGAAATGACCTGACGAGCTTCATGTTGAGAAGAGAGAAAGCAGAACTAGAGCTTGAAGCAAAAGGCGAGAAAGCTAAATCAAAGGAAGCGGGAAAGAGATAGAAACGGACTCCTTTTGCTGCTTCCACCAGGTCTCGAAGTCCGAGGTGATTTAGGGCTTGGGGCACTGCTAAAATGTCGTTGACATTTGACTTCATGAAAAACGACGCGTAGCTCAATGTTATAATATCGGGTCATTCATTTAGTTGGGTGACGGCCCAACACTCCCTTACCATCAACAAATTCATACTAAAAGCATTCTCCGATGTAACACGTATAGTTTTTTTTATGGAAATAGAAACATTTAATTTTATTAAAAAATAATTGATATTAAAATTATAATGAAAATTTATAATAATAAATATAAATTAAACATATAATTAAGATATTTTTATAATTATTAATATAATAAATTAGCCATTTAACATCATACAAAGACCATTCAATGAAAAGATTAAAAGCTCATCCAAAAAACTCGAACAAAATATAAATATAAATAGATCTGATTACATCGACATACAAATCATAATAGGGAATCAAACTACTAAAAGTTCACCGGCAATTGAAAATCAAAGTTGAGTATCCTGAGAAAACTATCTCTAAACACAAACCACATATCCAAATTCAATCTGATGATCTAAAATAGGGAAGATCATTAAGATAACAAATAAGTGTCATATTGATCAGTCGAGGCAACATCAGATATAATCTTAATAAAATTAAACGAAATGAAAGGTCAAATGACTACTAATGAAGACTAAGACGTGCCAAAATGTAGAAGAAAATGTATTATAATTAGACCCAAAAAAACTAATATAACAACTTATATCTTCAAATTAAATTTAAATATTAAAAGATATTCATTATTCTAAAAATTTTGTTAAGTTATAAGTTAAAATAATCAAATACAATAGTTGGATGTTAAAAATTGGGTAACTATACATTTAGTATCTAAATTAGTTTTGTTTTAGTACCTAAAATTTCATTTTTTTTAAAATCATACCTAAAGTTTAGTTTTTGTTTCATTTTAGTACCCCGCCGTTAAGTTTTGAAAAAAATTAAAGTCTAGGTACCAAAACACGTTTAGCACCTAAATTATACTTAAGTTTTGAAACAAATTGAAAATTTAGGTATTAAAACGGATCAAAACTGATAACTTAGATACTAAACGCGTTAAGTTTTTAACGACGCGATATTAAAATGAAACAAAAAGTAAACTTTATGTATGGTTATAAAAAAATTAAAAGTTTAGGTACTGAACTAACCAAAATTGAAATTTTAGATACTAAATACGTAATTTACCCTAAAAATTATATGAACTTTACATATATTAACATCGAGTAACATATTTTTTACTCAAGCATAACTGTGTAAGTTAATATGTTCGCAATTTATATTCGTGTTATTTTGGATTTTAGGGGGAGAATAGGTATGCGTGTGCAAACAACAAGAAGTTGGTCCGTTATACACAAATACTTTGATTCCACCAATATATATAGTTAGGTATCACAAAAGCATAAACAGACTCGATTTAGAAAGGCTTATGGACCCACAGGAGAGCTAAAAACAAACAAGGAAATAGACATCTCCTTTTGGCGGTTATATTGTGCAAGGATCTAATTTAAAATTAATTTAAGATATCTTTGATTTAAAATATTATCATATTTAATATAAAAAAATTATATAAATTTATAACATTTTCGGTTGCAACTGAAAAGTTATATTGTAGGGGTTTAGAGCTTACGATCGAAAATATAAAGAAGAACGAACATTTTCAGTTATAACATGTTAAACTTAAAAAATTGTTTTGTTTAATCTAAAAAGTTATCCTCTTGGTAAGATTTTTTATTTCAACGACCTCTATGATTTTAATCTTATATTAGTAAATTGTATTATTAAACTTAAAAATTTGTTTTGTTTAATCTAAAAAGTTACCCTCTTGGTAAGATTTTTTATTGCAACGACCTCTATGGTTTTAATCTTATATTAGTAAATTGTATTATTAAACTTAAAAATTGATTTGTTTAATCTAAAAAGTTACCCTCTTGGTAAGATTTTTTATTGCAACGACCTCTATGATTTTAATCTTATATTAGTAAATTGTATTATTAAACTTAAAAAATTGTTTTGTTTAATCTAAAATGTTACCCTCTTGGTAAGATTTTTTATTGCAACGACCTCTATGGTTTTAATCTTATATTAGTAAATTGTATTTTAAAATTTCCTCTTCTTTGTAGCTTAAAAATTTTAGAGGATACAAAGAAGATGAAAGCACTTTTCTTGGGTATCAATTCTTTTCTTCCTTCTTCAATATTCTTACTATCCTTAGTAAAAAAACAGTTTACATATTTACTGTGTCGTAGAAGAAATATTGTAAGAAAAATCTTGTCATTATTGTTGACCTATGTGAAAAAAAAATAGTATTTATTGTAGGAAAATCTTGCCATATTGTTGACCCATGTGAGGAAAAAAAAACATGACCATCATATATGATATTGTGCTGCTATTCTTTAGAGGCCAAACAAAGATGAAGAGAAATTCTTACATCCAAAGTTGGCAAGTGGACCAACCATTTAAAAGAAGACAGAAAAGGAATGAATTATGGAGCAACATGAAACCGACTACCTATTTCTATTGCCATAACGCGTCTAAACCAAACTGTATCTGTATGCCACTTATTCTGGTTTCCTGGAAATTGGAATCAAAAGCTAATTATAAGCCTCGAATAAAACTTTTTGGTTGAATTCATCACCACCACTCTCCGTCAATCTCATCCGGACAACGGTTGTCTTCGTCGTCCTTCCGATAAGATTCCGGATATGATGGCACCCTTGGGGGGATCCAATCCCATAATTATAACCTCTAGTGAAAGCTTTTCACACCGTGCATGTTGAGTCTTGGAATGATTTCCGAATCACTAAATAATCATGCATTCTCATTCTCATGGAGATTTATAATTATATATATGTTTTATTGAGTTTAAATCGAAAAATACTTTGTTTATCATTCGGTTAAAATAATCGAATTCTATTATAGAGAAATTTTTATTAAGTTTAAATATAGATTTGTTGTCTGAATTAATCACACTCTCTTAATGTAAATAATTTTTATTCCTAAGTTGGTATTAAGTTAGAATATAAAAAATTTACTCTCAACTCCCAAACTAATACTTGAGCTTTAATTCAATACATGTGATATAATATTATGTTGTTACACATTAAAAGTTATCTCCTTTAATAAAAGTGTCAAAATAATTGATGAAATTAAAGTTATCAAAATGCAATGGCAGATCTAAGTGTCTTTCAAGGTAGGCAAATTTATTTATGTTAGTTATTCATTTAATTGATAGTTTTTATTTTAAAATTTTATTTGCGCTTTCTATATGAAAAATTTATGTTATTGATATATATGTGTCCACTCTCAAAGATATTTATAAATATGCTATGTCAACATTATAGCAAAAATTCTTTAGATATCAACTTAGGAGAAGATGTCTAGTTCATGTATTAACTTGAGAGTATTTCTTTTTAAATACCAACTTGGGAGAAGTGATTAGTTGATATACTAAATATATATTTAAACCTTTTTATTATTTTAAAGATGTATTTTTTCGAGATTTCAATATAGCTAGCATTAACTGCTAATAAGAAATCGGAAATCACAATTAAAAAAATTATTATCTGCTAAAAAAAATTTCAATTCCATAGAATTAAGCAAAAAGCCAGACGAATGGTGCAATTATGGCACTAGTCGCCCCCCACATGGAAACCTGAAGGTGCAGGTATCACCAACGGTGATAGTGTAGTGATGATTAGGCCTGGAAAGGAAAGGAGGCAAGTGAGCCAGCACGTCACACACACACTCGTTATCCACCTGCCTCAGCCATTGACAACAATAGTCTTGCCTGTCCTCCCCGCGCTGTCGGTGCCTACGCCTGTGCCTGCGACTGCTGCTACGGCGACTGTGGCTGCTCCGACTACTGTGGCTGCTGCTACTACTACTGTGAGTGTTCCGGCCAGAAGGCGGAGGCGAGAACGGGGATAGCGGAAGCCCTCCGCACGCGTAGTTCACTATGTTAAATTGAGAAGCACAAAGTGGACGAGGTGATGTACTTACCCGTGGCAGGTTATTAGGCATGGCTACGGTAAACAATGAGAAGAGGCATAATATTGCAATGATCGCCACCTTTGTCATATTCTTATTTGGCTTTATTTAGGAATCGTGAAGTGGAAATTTGATGGGATTTTAGTATGTCCGCGTAGTTTGTATATACTTAAACTTATACTGGGTTCATTCATGAACTTGTTGCTTTCTTTGTTATATTATCAAGATTTGTTCAGAGGCAAAAAGAATATGGAAATAAGCATGGCAAAGAGAATGAGGAGACAGTTTCTTGGTGTTACGGATAAAGTTTAGGTTTCTCAATGGGTTTATTTATTCACTTTCTTCCATTCATTTAGAGTGATATACTTTGTATATGTCAATTAATGTTAATTTTTCATGTCCGTTTAACTATTCCTTTGATTTCAATTTAGATATTATTGAGACTTAAATGATTATCCGACATCTTAATATCAAAATATTTATAATACAACTCCTCCAACAAAATCACGACAGCCTGAAATTTGGTTGGTGGCTTTCCACGACAGTGGGACAAACCTTTCGTTTTTTCATCTTTCAAAATATTTTTCAACGGCGATTACAAGTTTACTATGCTGACAGTAAGGAATACGAATGCTCGTGGATTGGATGTGGTTTTTGGTTTATTTGAACTGATTTGAAAATTAAATCCTTCCACCTATACTTAGGTGGTGTTTGTTTTTACAGAGGTAAAAGGTCTGCAGTCTACGGACCACATCTGCAGGCATCTACAGCAGAAGAGGTGGATCAAAAGTCTGCAGTCTGCAAGAAGAAGACTGTTTATTTTTTAACGTCTGCAGACTGCTAAAATGAATTGAAATATAAATAAACTGATTTTTTAAACTTAAAAGAGTTTTGCAATACTGAGATTTAAATAATTTTAGTTTACAATACTGAAATTTAAATAATCAACAATACAATAATAAATTATTTAAAATAAATCAATTCATATTTTAAAATAAATCAATCCATACAACTACAATAATAAATCAATCCATATTTTAAAATAAATCAATCAATCCAAACAAATAAATAAATTATTTAAAATAAATCAATCTATACTAATAAATTATTTAAAATAAATCAATTGATACTAATAAATTATTTAAAATAAATCAATCCATACAACTACAATAATAAATCATTTTTAAAATAAATCAATCCATACAAATAAATTATTTAAAATAAATCAATCCATACAAATAAAATAAATCAATCCTCCTACTAATAAATTATTTAAATAAATCAATCCATACAACTACAATAATAAATCAATCCATATTTTAAAAATAAATCAATCCATACAAATAAATTATTTAAAATAAATCAATCCATCATATTTTAAAATAAATCAATCCATACAACTACAATAATAAATCAATCCTATTTTAAAATAAATCAATCCATATAAAATTATTTAAAATAATCATTCAATCCATACTAATAAATTATTTAAAATAAATCAATCCATTTTATTTTAAAATAAATCAATCTTATTAATTATTTAAAATTATTTAATAAATAACTATATTTTATAATTGTTATTGAAGATGTTTGAAGACCTTTGAAGACATAAAACCAAGTCTGCACCAATAAGAGCTCGCGCAGACGTTTGAAGAGCTTATGTCTTCTAAAAAACAAACAGTCTGCGAAGCCTAATGTCTGCGTGTGGTCTGCGCGACGCAGACATAAGTGGTTTGAAGAGCTTGCACAGTGAAAATAAATATTATCTTAATTTGATTTGTGGTTTACGAGGATTCCTTCTGACTCAAAATTTAATCTGATTTTTTAGTTTAAAACTCGCATTCGACCCAATGCGTGTATATATATTGATTGATTAGATAGAACAATGATAAAGTATATTATAATTTGATTTAACGGAAGTATTCCGCAGAAACTGTTCTCAATCTGGTGTTGGGGGCAGCCTACTACCCTACTTCCCCTTATCTCATTACATATGAGAATAGGATCAGCTAAATTTTTTAATGATTTAATTGGGAAACAAACATAATAGGAAAAAGTATATTATAATTATCCTTAAATTGACACCATAAATTGATAAAGAGATAAATATATAATAATGGATAAAGTACATAAATGGTCCCTCGACTATAGAGTATTATTTTGTTGAATCCTCTTATTATTAAAAATTATAAAATGATTCTCTGACTATATGATGTTGTTTTGTTGAGTCATCCTATTATTAAAAGTTACAAAATAGTCACTCGACTATTCATATGTTTTAAATTGCTTTCAAGTATTGGCTCGACGACATAATGTAAACGGAGAGTCGATCCACAAAATACAACTCAAACGGTTCCAGGATCAGATTTTATCATATCTCAATCAATAGGTTAACGTTCAGCTCAGACTACCACCAATTTTTTATACGAAAAATGATGAGTTTGAAACATATAAATAGTCAATTGACCATTTTGTAACATTTAATAATCAGAGACTTAACAAAATAGTTTCTTATAGTTAGGGGACCATTTTATTATTTAATTTATCTCATATTTTTATTTTTTAAATAATTCTGCTTTTATGACACGACTTTTTCTATCTTCACACGTTTTCTCTGGCTTTTGGCATGTTTTTCATTTTTATTTTCGATCGGTCGTTTAGTTTTCTCATAATTGGATATGTCATCACTGTGACTGATCAAGATGACACTTATTTGTTATTCTGCTGATATTTCATGTTTTAGACCCTCAAATTAGATTTGGATATACAGTCTGCGTTCGTAGATGATTTTCTCACAATTCTTAGTTTTGATTTGGGTTTGTCGGTGGTCTTTCAATAGTTTAATTTCCTATTGTGATTCGTTTGCCATAACAGTTAAATATGTTCGTATCTATCTATTGTTCGAAGTTTTTTGAATGAGTTTTTCACCTTTCTATTATATGATCCATATATAATGTGATTAATTTTTTTTATCTTGATGATTATAAAAAATATCTAAATTACGTAATTAGTTTATAATTCTAATTATAAGTTCTCATTATAATTTTAGATATTTAATTTGATTCTATTCATAAAAACCTCTACGAAGAAAAAACAAGTAAAATTTCCAAGGGCGTTTTTGGGTATAATGATCAAAGCTTTGATTTTAAGCAGGGGAGGTGCTGAGCTTACACAAGGTTCAGAACCCACAAATTATCTGTCATTGGACGAATAGTTTGCTGACAGAAAAGAGATAAGCTTTGAGGAACAAAACTAAAAGAAAATGTTAAATTAATCGGCTTTTTCTTTTACAATTCATGTTAATCAACAAGCCAGCCAACCCATCTTTATCTACTATTCACTTTTCTACCTCCTTTAAGAAAAGAAAAAGAAAATCCCCTCCTAATTCCAAGTATATTTCCAAACTATACGACACCCACAACTCTGAAGCATCTACTCATGCCAACAAAGGAGTAACACAGCACATCTCCATATGATATAAAGCCTTCCCCTTCGCTCTCTAATTTGCTTTGAACACCTTCGCCATGATCGGTTCTTCATTTCACAATCAAACCACCTGAATCAAAAGCTTCTTCTTTTGGTAATATCTGCAAGAAATGCGAGTTTGAGAGGCTGTGGAGGATCTTGGAGCTCTTTTTATAACAACAAAATCAACTCTAGATATGAACATGTGGTGGCAGACAAACGATTGGCCCCAAGCTGGGCTCACAGGCCATCATGTCCCACTGAGAAGATAAGGTATAGTTATTTTAAAAAGCTTGTCTGGTGCCCCCAAAACTATCTTGAAAGCGAATTGTCATTTATGCCTCACATGCATTTACCTTACCCTTCAACTTTCTTTATCCATTTTTACCCATCATAGCACTGTGTGCGGCCTAGAAATCAATCACTCAGCCAACTATGAGCCTGCTATTCTCGAGTGTCACGTGTGCCATGTCGTCGGTAAGGCCTAGTCAATCCGACATGCGGGCCAACTGTGATTGCCGGATCTAATGATAAACAAGTTTAAAGCCTCATGTTTTTTAAATGTGATGTCCTACTTATCCTGGTGGTCATGGCCATACATAAAGTCATTGACTGTTCTTTGAGTAAGTACTCTTTAGTCTCGGCAACAACTTCACATCGCCTTCGATGTGAGCCACACAGTGAACATGTCGGGTCAGAGTAGGCCACAGTTTCAGAAGCTAGTGGCGATGATCATGCCACGTTTGTTCTTGGGAAGGGAGATAACCATGTCGCCTTCGATGATAACCCTATGCGGGTCCAGCTGCCCACGTGAAGGAACTGTCCCATTGTAGTTGTTGGTGGTAACAGATTTACATGGAAGAGGATTTTTGCATTAAACTTGAGGCAAAAAGGGGAAAATCAGGAGAACCTGACAAATGTGGTCAAGTGTTTGCTGAATTTCATTGGTGGTGGTGATGATAAGGAAACGTACACATCAGAAAGCAGAAAAATAGAGGTAATTAATTTTCTTGTCAAGAAATAGTTGGAAGAATGTTGCTGCAAACTTGAAACAAGTCAATGAAAGAAATCCAAGTTGTCGGGGTGGTTTTGTTACATTGTTTATTGTTATGATGGAGATTAATAAGTACCATATCTTGGCTGCCAAATGCACGGAGCTGAACACATCATGGTAGTGATGGAGGCAGGTCGTGAGGTAAAGGAGGTGCAAATGGTAATGGAAAATGCTGATCAAAATGCTACCATAAAATTTATAACGTAATACCTCAAATTTTGATCAGTGACTAAAATATAAGTTTTAAGAGTTTAGTGGATAAAGTATAAATTTTGAAAATTTTAGAGACTAAAATGGTAATTTTAAAAAGTGATATATTTTAGCATGTAAATGAATATTTTGAATTAAAACCTAGATTTAAGTGGAATCATATTTTTAGTACGAGATTTTTGTTAAAAGCTATAAAGCGGTAAAGTTCGGTATTGAAATCAGATATTCGGATCGAATCATAATTTTATGAAAATTTGAAGGATGTTAGAAAATTGTTAGAAGTATTACTTTCAAATTTTATATCAGAGAAATTTCACTCAGAACAGTGCAATTTTTCATATTTGACCCAAACAGTTGAATTTTAG